AGGGCGGCCCCGAGGGGGCTGCCGGTGCCCGGGCTGAATTTCACATGCGCATATAGTAGTACCCGTGTTCTCTCGTGTGTAAAATAGGTGGAGTTCCTCACTTATGGCTCCAAGTACCTCGCTTCTGGAAGAAGTGAAAATAATTGGAGGTGCGCTTTTCTTCAGGCTTATCTTGTTTTCCTTTCCCAGATTCCAGAATTAAAATGAGCTGGTTTAGCCATCCCCCAAAGAAGTGTGAAAGAAGGTGCTTCCAGATGTTTTAGAGACTTTACGGGAATGGCCTCTTAGCTGGTTTTCCTAAAATGACAAAGCTTAGGCAGGTATAGAGCTGGTGCATGTATTTGTTCCTCCAGATTTTTGAACCCAGTAAGCTTTGTCAACAGAATGTGTCAAAGAGGTAGTGATCTCAAAGTTTATCACATAAAAATTACAGAGTTACCTGTGAAACTTTGGTTATTGTATTTAATTTTAAAAAACAAACAAAAAACCAGCTCAAAACACCACCAGGTGGTAGAAGACAAAATGTTAAAATGCTTAAGATCAAATCAAGAGACAAAAAAACCCTACGCCGAATTAGTTGCCATGTGTGCAGAACCACCTGTTTTACCTTGCGCTGGTTGTTTTTGTTTGTTTTTACTTGCTGTAGAGTCCTAAACGCTGTCGGCATTTCATAGGTACACTATTTGAATATGTAGAGGTATTCTTGTATGTAAATGTACCTGCAAAATTGAGGTGAAAAGGGGAGTTGAGTTTCCTGAAGTTCAAAGACTAAACTACATTTATAAAGAAATTTTATAAACTGGAGGTTCTGTTTTGACTGAAACCAGGAGACGAGCTGGGAAAAGGGGCAGGGGAACAAAATATTTAGAGGGAAAGACATAGACTGTTTGAATTATCAAAAAGAGAGTAAAAACAACTTATATAGATTACTGTAATTCTTTTTGGGTTTTAGTAAGCTGTGCATTCACTTGCCTGTTATCAAAAGGTTTGGTGCTTGTCACCCTGTGAGGCTGGGCCGGCACCTACAGCAGCTGGCAGACAACTCTATTAACTCCTTCCTTCCCCAGCAGGGGAGGGAAGGGAGAAAAGGGAGAGCGCCTTACAGGGTGGAAAATTAAAACTACTTTAATAAAACAATAAAAATGGAAAACAGTATAATACATTAATACCAATACTACTAATAACAGAGGTTAAAAAGAAATACACAAAACTAATATTGAGTTTCCCAGTGATGGTCAGGGAGTTGCAAGCCAAGGCGGCTCACACGGTTGCCGCAGCAGGGCAGGGACGTCCTGGACCGGCCTCCGCACCGACAGGAACCGGATTCAGGAATGCATGGGTCAGGATCAGAGGCAGGAGAATGAGCAGGGCCCCACAGGGATGCTGGCCACGAAAGAAGGGCTCTCCCCCGTCATCCCTTAGCTTTATACTGGGTATGACGTGGATGGGAAGGAATACCTCTTTGGTCAGTTTTTGGTCACCTGTCCCATCCGCACTTTGCTACAGGTGCAACCCTGTTGCGTCTTTTCGGTTGTGGAACATAAAACAGCAAAAGTGACCTTGGTTCGCACAGAAATAAGTATAAACACGAGCCTGTCTGCATGCTAATCCTACCGTTATTCTAGTAACGACTATAAACATCAAGAGTTATCAATTCCCGGCCTCCGCACCGACAGGAACCGGATTCAGGAATGCATGGGTCAGGATCAGAGGCAGGAGAATGAGCAGGGCCCCACAGGGATGCTGGCCACGAAAGAAGGGCTCTCCCCCGTCATCCCTTAGCTTTATACTGGGTATGACGTGGATGGGAAGGAATACCTCTTTGGTCAGTTTTTGGTCACCTGTCCCATCCGCACTTTGCTACAGGTGCAACCCTGTTGCGTCTTTTCGGTTGTGGAACATAAAACAGCAAAAGTGACCTTGGTTCGCACAGAAATAAGTATAAACAGGAGCCTGTCTGCATGCTAATCCTACCGTTATTCTAGTAACGACTATAAACATCAAGAGTTATCAATTCTGAAAGCAAGACACTGTCTGAAAAACATGTAGCTAACTTCAGAAAGTGCAGTTACTTAGAAGAAACTTAACTGAAAGAAAAATCTACTAAAATGAGAAATGGTCCTGTTTTAGCCAAACCAGGACAATGCTTTAAGTGAGAGACTGAAGAGAAACCTCATGTTTTTATCAGTTCATGGAATCACTTTTTTAATGCTGGAGGGCTTCTGTTTCAATAGTGATACACTCTGCAAACATTAAAATCTTAAATCATGGAATATTTGGGTAGCTTGTCACATAATGATGGATTTATGGATTTGTCTGAAAAATAAGTCAATCTAGTGTTGTTTGTTCATGTATTTCTCTTTTTTTTTCCCTTTCTTTTTTTGGTAGGCCTTTTCTGTTGTTTCAAAGCTGCTGTCTCAGCGTAAACTTGACCTGCTGGATGAACTTGTGTCAGCAGAGGTAAATGCTTTCCATCTCTTATTCTAGCAATTGATTTTCCATTATGAAGCGACATGCGTTCAGCCTGTCATTATCTACAAATACTGCCAGTTTGGTTTAGTTTGGGAAAAACAGCATAACACAGAACAGGGCGATTGTTTGTCCTGCAGCTTTTTGATGTTTAATTTCAAGGCATGAAACAATTTAAAATTACTCTATTTAAAAAAAGAAAATATTCTTGCCATTGAGCATAAGGACCAATTGCCAAAATGATTACTGGTGTACCAGAAAGGATTGAAAGGGCAGTGGGTTCTGGATGGCAGGCGGAATTGCATACTTCTGTTGGTGTAGGCAGATAGCTGACATTTTTGGTCTGTGCACCAGAATTCAGATGAAGAAAGGAACTGGTTTGTGCTCATCCCTGCTGCACTAATACATTCCCACTCCCGAGCAGATCTTACAGCCAATTACTGGTTTTGTCTGGAAGGCCTCAGTCTTGTGTCGTGGTCTCAGGGATATGACTGACCTGACTATTTAAACATTGGTGCTCTATGTTCTGTGTTTTTATTAATTTTTAAGTGCTGAAGTTGTCTTGGCCTTCCCAGGGGACGGAGGTAGCAGATGCATCAGAGTCAAGTGGAGGAGATACTTCAGGTCTATGTTTGCCTTGTTACTGGATGTCAGCTTGGCCTGCCCTATTGCCATCCATGCCTTTGCAGCAAAAATTTTGATGCTGTTCTAGTTCATCCCCCCTGGACAGTGTTGCTCCTCTCTCTGAGCAGAGATAGCAATAAAATGTGAGTTTGTTTTCTTATGGTTGCTTTGAAAGAGCATCTCTTCTTCCTCTGCTCACCTTAAATTCTTCAGGTGATCAGGTTAACATTGATCCAGAGACCTCAGGTAGCCACAGGATGTAGTGGATGAGGCTGTGATACGACACTACTTTGTTGTTGCTTTGGCCAGTGAACTTTGTACCTGCAAAATGTACTAGAAAACGATGTCTTCTACTGAAGATCGCCTCTTGCTTCTGTGTGACCTCTGGATTTGTTTGTTATTCAAAAATGGCAGTGTGAGTTAAAAATAAGTGCTGCACAGCTTCATCCTTCCTTGTGACTGTCTTTCTCATGCGGTGTTTGAGGTGATGCCTCTGTTCAGTTCGTGCACCACACCCTTCTTCTACTTAACACAGCTGTGTAGGTCTTAGGATACTCAAATACTATGGATATGAATGTGAATGGGAACTTAAGTCCCAGAGCAATGATTTTTCAGTCTTTTCCACTTTGCAAGTGTTTAAACTTTTTCTAATGGGAATGCGGATCACAAAATGGCAAAGATAAACGTAGTGGTAATGGAACTGATTTTCAAAGAAACCTGTGAAAGATAACTAAGAAATAATTGAATCAGAAGCTAAGGAATATACACATAGTGAGAAATCAGCAGTGAGCCGGCAGAGTGTAATTATGATTGTGGAAGCAAGCTGAACTGGTATTTTCTGGGCTTACATGCTTTGCTTTGCAACTTCTGTTTTGACAGTACCTTTTATAAACATTTTTTAAAATACTTGGTTTTCATTAGTTTGAGCAGTAAATGGATCTTCTTTAATATCACTGAATTAGGGTTGAATTTGGGAGTGACCAAACTTCCCAGTGCTTTTTCACTTCTGCAATGGTGTATGTTATACAAACGTTTCAGGGATATAGCTCATTTTATTAACTGCAGTAGAAAAGATTATTACTTCAATTTCCTAATGAAAAGCTAAGTGACAGTTTTTCTGAATTTAGGTGCTTCAGGTGCTGAAGGAAAAGATTTCTTTGCTCCCTGACAACCACAGGGATGCTTTAGCAGCTGACATTGATGCAATCATGTACACAACAGAAGGAGATGTTCGCATTTACTATGATGATGATGGTACGTTTAGAATTCTAAAACATTTCAGCAATGGACAGTCTTATTTCCTGGTTTTGCTACTAAGCAGGGATTCTTCTTACAGATGTGTTTTTTTGAATACTGTTTCTCCTTGTTTTTCTGTTCATAGTTAATATGTATATAATTCCTTGATTTCCTTTTAGATCTGAGAGATTATTCTTAATAAATCATGGTACTGTTTTGACTTCTGTTTAGGTTTTGCTTATTCCTCCTCTTTTGTAATTTCAGACCACTCAAAAACAATTATTCTACTATATGCAGAAAACTGTTTGCCTCAGCAACGAAAATATATCTTCCAAGAAGAACAGTGAAGGCTGGATAATGAAATAGATTTTGCTGTCTTCACTTCTATTGTGTTTTCATGAAATATACTTTGTTCTGGGAGTCCTTCATTATGTTGTTTGGCTTTTTTTAAGCTAGTGATGAGCTCAAATGAGTTTTTCTTCCAGGTGAATACCAGCATTATGTGTTCAGTTCACTATCAGACACAGTTGAGATGGTTTATAGTCTAACCATGGGTGTTCCAGTGAGCATTTCAAATTGTCAGACCCAGTGAGCTTTTTTCCTCTTTTGGGAGATACGGATGGGTTTTCTTCCTCTTAGGTTGCTCCTGAGTTTCAACTACTCTACATACTTTTGTAGTATCAATAGTTGGCTTTGGACCTTGTGCTAACTATCTTTTTTCCATATGCTTTGATTATGTACAATTCTTGCAACACTCATGATAAAATACATACCTTTACAGAATCAGAGAATCAATTTGATTGGAAGAGACCTCCGGGATCATCGAGTCCAACCTTTGCTCTAACACCGCCATGTCAACTAGACCATGGCACTAAATGCCACGTCCAGTCTTTTCTTAAAGACCCCCAGGGATGGTGACTCCACCACCTCCCTGGGCAGCCCATTCCAATGCCTAACGACCCTTTCTGTGAAGAAAGGCCTCCTCATTTCTAGCCTGAACTTCCCCTGGCACAGTCGCAGACTATGCCCTCTTGTCCTGTCACAAGTTGCCTGGGAGAAGAGGCTGACCCCCACCTCGCTACACGCTCCTTTCAGGTAGTTGTAGAGAGTGATCAGGTCTCCCCTCAGCCTCCTCTTCTCCAGGCTAGGCAACCCCAGCTCCCTCAGCTGCTCCCCATCAGACTTGTGCTCCCGACCCTTCACCAGCTTCATTGCCCTTCTCTGGACTCGCTGCAGCACCTCAACATCTTTCTTGAAATGCAGGGCTCAGAACTGGACACTAGTCGAGGTGTGGCCTCACCGGTGCCAAGTACAGGGGGATGATCACTTCCTACAGAGTGTACTTTTATTGTTGCTAAACAGCATGAATATGCCTTTAAATAGCTTTATCATTCATTATTCTGTCATGCATTCTTTATGTCTGAAGTCAGCTGCCCTTCCAGGGTCTCACTAGAATATTTGCTAGGTAGCAAATAGGAGTATTTGACCAATGAGAAACATGAGATCTACCTTACGCTTTGATTTATTTCCAACAGGAAGAAAATTTGTTAGCATCCTGATGCGTTTCTGGTATCTGAATGATGCTAACCTACCTGATGAAGTGCCAGGTGAAACCAAAGTTTTCCAGATTGTGTTTGGAGATGAAAGCACAAAAGAAAAAAGACATCTTTTAACAGCAAACTATGAGTAAGTTTACTTGTCTCTCTTTTTTTTTTTTTTTTTTTTTCTGTGTGTACATGCGCTAGCTGTATAAAAGCAGTTTGGGAACTGAAAGCATTCACAATGTGCCAGTGCAGAACTCGATATGTTTTAATTGACTTTGATTCTAAGTTAGTTCTCGTCCAGCTTTCCAGTTTTCATGCTAGGGCCAAATTTTTTAAATACTCCTTAAAGTCATTATGTTACTACCTTGCTTCTGAGTTGGCATTAATGGGAACTCCTCTATCAGGAAGAGCAATAGTTGGAGCATTGAATGAGGTTTCTGATCCTTTCCTATACTGCTCCTGCAGCTTTCAGGACATAGGCCAATATCAGTTCTTGTTTCCCATTTCTTGTAGCACAGCTAACAGCAATGCAGTCAAGCCAAGCAGTCAAGTGTGGTGTTGTTGACTTTTCACTTCCTGCACGAAAGTCAGAACTGCAATTAGCTGAAAAAGTAGCTCATAAAAGAGGAAATTATTTAGCTAAACACTTTCTGCAGAAATGCAGAACAAAGCAAGGATCGCCTGGTGTTCAGATAATTCATGCCACTCAAATATAATCCAAGCCCTCAAAGCACACATTAGGTAGATGGATTTTCATAAGGATGCTTGTAAATAATGTCTGTGTTAGTGTACTGATGTCAGAGCAGTGCAGAAATACCTGCACAGTTGGCAAAATGTACTGAAAATAACTTTCTCAGAAGTTGGGAGAAGTGAGGATTTTTGTGTGAGAAATGCAATACAATCGATGACTGCTACACCCACGTTTGAAATGGAGAGACTATGGGGTCTAGTTGATGAGGAACTCTGAAACAAAGGAAGCACTTTGAGGACACCACTGCTTTTTGCCTGGTGGCATTTTTGTGGATCCATCCCTTAGCTGAATTTGGCATCTTCCATAGAGTTGAAGGCTTCTGAGGCTCCATTAACCTCAAGAGCCTTCCCTTAAAGCTCTAAATACCTTCCTAATCCCCAGCAGAGAGATATTTGCAAGTATGCGTTCCTTCTGCTGTTCACAGTGCTAACCTAAATTCAAGTGTGCAAAGATACTACAGGTCTTGTAAGCCTAGTGTTAAGTATTTGGGTGTCTGGAGAAGACAGTTTCCAGGAGTGGAAATGTAATGTAATTGCAAAGTAATGAAGTTATACTGCTCTTGTCCACAACGTGCAGGTTACTTGGTAGCATAAATATTCAGCTTGAAGCTCAGAGTTATCTTTAGATTACAAGCAGTCAAAACTGACATGCTCAGAGACGAAGGCGTTAATCACTACAAAAGGAAGGCTCTTTGAAAATAAGGGTGGATGTTTTCATTTTCCTATCAACAACTGGAATATTCTTTCAGGGAGTTTCAGTATTAGCTGTTAGCTTGATCTTTGATGTATTTCTGGAAATACATTACTTTAAATTTAAAGTATAGTTCAGTAAAAATGAAAATTTTGAGGTAGAATGCATAGCATGTGATTTCTCTTTATAATGCAGTTACCATCCTATTAAATGAAACCCTTTATTCAGAGATGAAGATCTGCTGCAAAGCAGTATTGATAGCTACTGCTATGAAAACTGAGTGGTTTCTTGCTATCAGGGTCTTTACTGTTGGTGCTTTATCCTGTCCTGATCTGAACTAAAACACTCTGAAGTCAGTGCACTTTGTTTCTTACTATAGAATTAATTTTGATGTTCCATTTTCGGGCATAAGCATCAGAGTCTAAGGAGCTTTTACAGGAATAACTTTGAAGGAAAATATTTCTTCATGATTTCCTGTTGCTATTTAAGGGTCAGGTAGATTTTAACAACTCTTCACTTACTGTCTTTCCTTTCCAGGTTCCAAAGGGAATTTACAGAAGGAGCAAAACCAGACTGGACAATTACACGGATTGAACATCCAAGGCTATTAGAATAAATGCCTTCTACAGTCTTTTTATGTACCATTGTAAATGTTCTGGTGTAATAAATATCAGACTTTTTTTGGTCTCTTTTTTCCCTTCCTGCCGCCTTCTCCGAAAGAGGGACAAATTTTGTATGTTTGATTTCCCAAAATTCTTTCTGAAACTTGCAGTATGCTGCAGGATTACAATAAAGCCTTTTCCCTGGAACAGGCTAGTACAAGTGTAATTGGTAGTAATGCTCATCCAAGGCATTTACACAGCACCGATTCACTCAGGCCGATATTACGGGTATGTCACCTTTTTACATTCTGAGAATAAACCATACTGCTTGAATATAAACAACACTTTCATGGCTGATGGCCCCTCTGAGTTATTTTCCTATGTTTCTTTTTTCCTTAGGGACTGTACAATATATAACTGAATTATATGCAAGATGAAATAGAGATAGATGGACTTCTTAGGTTGTCTAGTCTCAGCAGTTCATTTTGAGGTAATCTTACTTTTGAATATGTTTGAGATTAAGAAAGTTAGAGCCATTATCAGTATTTGGTACAGGATTGGAGTAAGAAAAAGCTTTTAGTGTTGCAGTGGGAAAATGGATCAAAGATAGATACATATATATATATATATGTAATAAAT